AGAAACACATTACCGTCTATGAACAACCCGCTGACATGGAATCGCTTAGGGACCGTCTGCAAATGACCAGATCCAAAATATGTTTTACCCAGAATATGCTTCATAACTTCATTCTAAATTGCTCTATTACAACCAAAATCAAGCAACATGCCACTCCTCACCTGCACATTGTACTGGACGACTCAGTTTCAATAAAAATTTTAATATTTATTAGAGCATCATTTTTATTCTTGATTATTTGGATCAGTTGTTCCCATAAAAATCACTCTATTACCATAAATTCAGGTCACACAACTGTTCTAATGATTCAATTCAGTGCAAGTCATCAAATTAAACTCAAGTTATTACAAAAAAGGTAAATAATTAATTATTGTGTGTGTTTTGTCAATTCTCAATAAAGTTGAAAATAATTGTTTGTTGATTGATGTTTTACATTTTTGTAGCGGGTAGATCACTTTGATTTGTTTATTGTAAAAGTAGCTCGCAAGCTCAAAAGTGTGAGCACCCCTGCACTAAAGGAATTCTGGGAAATGTTATCTTGACTTAATATGGGGTCAAATTTTGTTGAACTAGAACTCAAACTGAATAAAGTAGAAGAGGTTAGATGTTTACCATTGACCTATAATGCCATTGATGTAATCAAAGCAGTTCTAGCAGTGAAACCAGCCGATAAAGAATGCTAGGAATTGAGCAACCAGACAAGACGAATACATCATAAACCTGACTGAGAGAAGGTCACAAATTTGAGGAATCCTTAGGTTGCTTTTGCGTTCATTTGTTTTTTGTACTATAAAGTGAATGAAAAGATGTTTAGAAACTTTTGGAAAAGCTTTAGTAATTTTGTTTTTGTTAGAAACTCGGCGTGATGGCTCAGTCAGTAGCTCTGTTGTCTTTCATTTTGCTAGTTTGAGTCCAGCTGGGGTCTTCCATGTTCTCCCTGGACCTTTCATTCCACAGTTGACAAACATGCTTCGGGTGAAATGAACACTCTATTTTCTTAAAGTAGTGAATGTGAGCGGAATTAGAGAGGGAATGAGCAACCTTTCCATGGTCCCTTTAACCAGGATTAAGTTGTTAAGAAGATAAAGTGAATTGTGGTTGTCAGAAAGAATTGTTTTGCAGAAATGTAATCATATCATAATGTGAAACAGACAATCATGGACAGTGTGTTACATTAGATAAGAAAGGATGTAATGAAAGTGTGTCACCACAAAAACCACATTAGTGACACAGAAATGTCATATCAAGGTTGCTTTATCATTTCACAGTGTACAAAGCATCATGATTTTTGAAAGTCACATGATTTTTGAAGTCACAAATCCCAGAATGGCCATTTTTAGTCTGATTGTCACCTTCCTTTAAATGAATTTGGTGATGTCTGATTTTGGTGATGCTTGTTGTGACTTCATCTTATAGCTTAGTGGTATGAACCCACTTAGATGTAAAGCTGTTTGCTGACCAACCACAGTGTGAAGCGAGTATGGTTCCCCTGTCTATCAATATTGATTGATGGGTTGTTATGATTCTCAGAGAATCCAATTAGTTATTATTTAGAAGTGTTATGCTTAGCACTTAGCAATATGTTATTCTTTCATATTCATTTTCTGATTATGTGTTTTGTGTGTGTCTATTGCTTTGTGGAGATGGCTGAGCGCTGACCCAACCAATTAGGGGAGTGGGCGGGCCTATAAAAACGGCCTGCTCTGCATTCATTCGCCCCTCCTCTCTCTCGCGCGCAGTGTGTCAGTCCGGTCCATCCGTCTGTCATCTGTGAACCAAACAGTGTTGCTACGCCACTAACCAGTACCTGTTCTGTTGCCCTGTCCTGTCGGACTTGTGAATCCGTTCTCCCTCCGGATACTCAGTATAAAGTACTTTATAGATCTTTGTATAAAGTGTTGTGTGGCGTGTGTTTGCGAGCGAGTGCTTGACAGTGTTTATATTTACCCGTGTTTAGATTTTGTTTATTTTAAAACCGATCCTTGCTAAAGTCTATTGTTTGTATTAGTGAGTGCTTTATTATTTAACAATTATTTAGTTTGATCCACGGATTGTTGTATGTTTGATGTTAGTAGCACTGTAAATAAATTACATTTTTGTTTTTGGAAAATTGTGCCAGTTGTGACTTTTCTGTAAATATCAGACTTTTTATTTTGTTTACTATTACTCACTGTGCGCTCCACGAGCCAATTTCTTTAACACCAAAGTGGGTCGTAACATGGTTGCTTAGTTTAAGTTAACGCCCACCATTATCAGTGCCAGTCCAAGCAATGTCCCCAAAGCGATTCCAAAACTTTTTCATGATGTAAATCCTAACACAAAGCCTTTTATCCGTGAATTGCTCCCAAGTAATAGATTTGTAATCAAATGTGGACTTTTGCCAAAGACAAAACATTCTAAACATATCTCCGAAACCATTCAAACTACAGCAACAAACTTTTGTCAAGACATTCAAACTGGTCTGACTTTATTCTCTCAGACTGGTACCACTAAGGGATTCTGAGAAATCACTGATGATTCTGGAAAATTTTCATTGACTTAATCACAATTGTCAAAGATGAAAACTTCAAGCTCACTACACGTCTGGAGGTTACTGTGTGAAAGTATTTAAACCCCAGGCTCCAGAACAGGTTCAATATTTACCCTTTACTTTTAATTGCCATTGGAAACAAATGGGAAAAGGCAACAAAATTATCATCAAGATAAAACATCACAAGGAAATGTGAATTAAGTTAATCACATTAACAACTTAAATTACTGACCGCTCCCTGGAAACCTAACTAGCAACTACATTTTGTCAACTCTATCTCAGCTTTGCTAAATGATAGAGACATGGGGGTTGGTTTAAATAAAGGCAACAGTAAATGACCCTCCCTAGCAACCAGGCTGTTTATGTAGAAACGTCGGGGTCAGTTTATTTTCCTCATAGTGACACAACATTATATTATGCCACTGACCCCTCTATAGCAACCAGGCTCTTTACCAATAGCAACCAACCTGGGATATCTCTGTCAGTTTAGGAAAATTATTGGGATTTTGGGGATGGTTCATGTCACTCATTGTCTCAGCACTTTTATAACCCAACATCAAAGTTTATGTGCCACCTTATGCCATCTAGTTCTTGTAATCGCACTACCATGTAGAGTACACAGATCCGCAGTCACACTCAATTCATTCAGACTGATGAAACCTAGTGCATGTAAACATCTCTCTTTTTTTTTCCAGGGCATGTGAGGTTCCTCAGTCTGTCTTGTGGCAGTCAGAATGTTTGGGCATGTGATGCAAATGGAATGGTGTATTTTCGGGTTGGAACTCAACCTTTGAACCCCAGCATGATGCTCCCGGCCTGGATCTGTATTGAGCCTCCCGAACAGGTAAACAAGCATTTGACCTCTTTGTAATGACTGGAGACTCAGACTCAGACTCCAGTTAAGCTGCGTGAGAGAAAATAGTTTGTTTTAAATATACATTTCATTTGAACCAACAAACACACTCTGCAGATTTAACTTATTGTCGTTAATTGACAAAAGAAAGCAATCTTGCCTGAAAACTGTCTTTTGAGATTATTGATTGGTCTTTTAATGAAAGATTTATTTTCTAATGTTGTTTTCAAACAGCCTTCTGGACTTCATCTGGTGAGAATTCAGACAAGTTCAAATGACCGTATGCTGTGGGCGCTGGACAACAGAGGCAATGTGCATGTGCGCACTGGTATCACTGATGAGATGCCGGTTGGGACGGCCTGGGAGCTCATTCCTGGTAGACTTTGCTTTTATTTATTGGACTGTGATTGATTACGAATACTGTTTAAGCATATACGGTGCTCCCAAAAGACATTAACTTATGCCAAAAGTTTTAAAAAGGATACAAATGCATATTATAAGAACGTCTTTTAAAGGAAAATTCCACTTATTTGGAATTAGGTACATTCTCCTTATTTTTAAGTTTATTTCGATCATTTTGGAATCGATCATTTGGAGTCTGATTATAAAGCAGCTTAGCTTTGATAATTACATCTAGTCCAATCAGAAGCCTTTAAATTTAACAGTTTCGAAATGCAGAAAATTGAAAACTTAAGTTGATCCCGGAGAGTTAACTTTCTTGTTTTCAACATTAGATATATCGATGGAAGGAGCCCTCCTTCAGGCACTGCATGATATCATTGTGTCTACTGCGGTTATTTTATGACTGCAAAGTACCTTGATTATTATGCCAGAATGGTTTGATTCTACGATGTAACGATTGAGAAAAAACATGTTCAAATAATAAAAAAATGGCATGCAAACTTTGATGCAGGCTAGTTGTAGTGCTGTTTAAGAGCCAATGTCAATGTGATTAAAATAAACGCCCAACCATTTCTCAAAAACGTTCCTAAGGTGAGGTATAGATATGTCAAATTCATTGTTATGGTAAACAGTCTGGCTGCTATGGAGGAGTCAGTGGAATAATGTGATGTTCTCTGTGTCACTATGAGTGAAATAAACCAACCTCATGTCTCTGATTTTCCTAAGATGAGATAACAATATGTCAAGATGGTTTCCATGGTAAAAAGCTGGGTTGCTATAGAGGGTTCGGTTGTCACTGTAAGTCATGTAAACCAACCCCTATGTTTCTATTATTTAGCAATGCTGAGAAAATTTGGTTGGGGGTAAACAGTTTGATCATGTTACTATGATTATCATAATCATATCCACATTTCTCTGTGATGTTGTTTTTATTCATTCTGAACCTATGGATTCTTGAAGAGTTGGAGAGTTCCAAAAAATGTAGAGGGTTCCTTTAACAATATTTCTTCAGATGCTTGAAATTCTTAAAGAACCTATAATTATATAATGTCTAAAATGTATGAAATCGTAAAAGTACTACATTTTTTGCCAACCTGAAGGGAAAATTATAATTTGTACTAATTTGTAACTGGATTGCTCCCAAAATTCTTTTTTATTTAACATTTTGGACCATTCCAAAGCTAATTATATTTCAAAGAATGAACACAATTGATCATTTCTTGCTGGGATTTGAATCCAAAATCTGGGCTTTGATAGCACTGTGTTCTACTGACTGAGCCACAGGAAATTCAGTCTGTGTACATTGAACATAATGTAATGTTGTTTACAGTCATTTATGTAATAAGCCGTAAAATATTTAAAGATAATGATAAATAAATCCTTTACTTATTTAATAACAGAAGTTAAAAAAGACAAATTTATTCTAGCTAAAATAATGTTTATTTTATAATGTTTAAAGCACTTTGGAACCGTTCTGGAAAGAATGAAACTCATTGTCTTCACTTATTACCAAAAATGGAAATTTAAAGTGAAATTTTATCCTTTAAAAGTTTGATAAAAGCGGCTGGTTTTGGAGATTCAAATAATTTCACGTGAGCTGTATGCGCTTCAAAATGGATGAAAAGTAAATAGTTTGAATCTGTTGACCAGATTCAAATATCCCCGAAACAATGGACTGGTTCATTGTTGTTCAATTGTTTGTTTCCCAAACTCCAGGTCTTCAGGCAAGTCAGTTGGTTCTGAGCATGAGAACCGCATGGGTTCGTCTTTCTAATGGGGAAGTGGCTCGTCGATATGGCATCACAGAGAAGAACCCTGCTGGAGATTACTGGAAGAAGATCCCAGGGCTAGTCAGTTGTCTGGCGGGTGAGTATTCAGTGTCCCACATTCTGCAGAGGCAAATTACACAAACCAAGTGGCTTGTGTCTATCTTTCACAGTGACCCCGCGGGATGAGCTATGGGCAGTGGCTGCTTCTGGGGCTGTAAACCAGCGCCTGACCAAGACTCTGCCAAATAATAGAAGCAAGCACCATGGCAAGATTGGATCTCTGAGCGGCGAGGAGCTGGAGGAGGAGTGGGAGGTGATTTAGATCACAAATACTGTTAAAACGTTCCACTATGACATTGTTCTGTGAACTTTCCTTAGCACTTTACTCATTTCTTCCTAAAGAAATAGTTCACCAGGGTTAAAGAAACTTCTTTCTAAAGTGTTCGATAGAGCCACTTGAACCTACCCGAAGCTGTTGCTTTCAAACACCATGTGCACCTTGTGACTGGAAATTGTTTACACTTTCTTGTTTTAATTCTTACAATTATTTATTTATTTTTAAAAGTCAACTTGAAGTGTAGGGAATTTATGTTGTTGAGTTTCGCTATATGTTAGCGAAAAGTTCAGGGTCATCAAGACTACTTATTTTACGCAAATAGTGATCGTTTGGGACAGATATGTTGCATGCAGCACTGTGCAAAAGTTTTAGGCAGCGGTAAAAATGTTGTAAACAAAGAATGCTTTGAAAAATGAGCATTTAATTCGTTTATTTTCATAGTTGAACAAAAGAGAAATCTAAATCAAACCAGTATGGCCCCCCTTTGCCTTCAAAACTGCAGCCTTTCTTTTCTGAAACATCCTTCTGTCTCCTTGTGTAATCCCAGACATACACAATGATGTTGAGATCAGGATCATCGATGGGGATCATACCATCACTTCCAGTGTTTGTTCTTCTTTGCACTGAACATAGTTCTTAATGACTGTGGCTGAGCGTTTGGGTCATTGTTCTGCTGCAGAATACATTTCAATCAAATACCTCCCTGATGGTATTTCTCATCATTGAGAACACCATTAATCCTGAGCAAATCTCCAACTCCCTTTGCAGAATCCCCAAATGATCATGGATGTGTTCCACCATGCTTCACTGTTAGTTGTAGACACTCATTATTCTACCACTCCCCAGATTTCTGCGGCAGCCAAATATTTAAAATCTTAACTCATCACTCCAGAGCACACAATATATATAAAAAAAAAAAAAAACCTATTTAAAACTGACCCCATTCTTTTGAATGGTTGTGTAATGCAAAGCCTTGCGCTTTACGTACAATAACAACTTTAATTTAAAAGTGTATCATACTAAATAATCTACAATAGGCTCATTTTAACATACTGTATGCCACCATTTGATATGATATCATAGAGTACAGGGCATTTGGAATGTGAGGTGTTGTTTTAATCTGCTACTCCAGTAAAAGGGAACTAGGCTAAAGGTGACTAGTTGTGAATGTTATTAAGCTTTATCTGTAAATACACTTGAACCCTGTTAATTACTTGAGAGGAATAACCATGGTAGCGTTTAGCTCTTATCTGTAAGAAGCGCATGGTTTCTAACAATGGCTTACCTGTGTCTGTTTCATGTGTGTCCGTCGTTTCAAACGGATAAAACAAAAACCCAGTTTAAAGCCATGTGTGGTTGATGGAATCTTTCTGTTGAAGTAACATCTGTATATTAATGCTACACAGGCGTCCTCATACAGTATACACCCATATTCCAAATAAGGAATACAATTCCTCTCATGTCTAATGTCTGACTGTAGTCTATAAAGCGACACGTGGTATTGACTGATATGCAAATGAAGGTAAAGGATTACGTAAGCATCGCTGCTAATGGTTTCAGCCGTTTACCCAGAACATCACATATTCTGTTAATAATGCCTTGCCCCACTCCACTGGTTTCAGTTTTGCACTTTTATTATGTTGTGAATGATCGATGTGCTACACCGGAAATGTAACGTTTAAACTGTGAAATCGCTTATTAAACATTACTCCATGCTTAGTCATGACAAACTTCCAAATAATGGTCAATCTTTTCTGATTCAATAATTTTTTATTGGGGATATCAGGAGAACATGCAAGTTTGGGCGCCCCTTTAGATTGATTTTCTGTCAAACTTCCTGATTGTTCAACATCATGGTTTAGGGGAAGGATGCAGATTTAAGCTCCCCGTTTGCGGAACGTTGAGGAACATTGTGAGGAACTGGAACACCAGAACTAGTTAAGGAACAGAAGTGGCAGACCAAGAAAATTCTCAAAAAGTCACAGTCAACCCACAGACCAACTTCAAAGACCTACAACATTGTCTTGCTGCAGATGGTGCTACTGTGCATCGTTCAACTATTCAGTGCACTTTACACGAGGACATACGACTTCCAAATACTCGACCCTGCCCCTAGTTGTCATCTACAGCAGATACATTTGTTTTTTTGCGTTGTGTTGTGGTTGTGTGTAAAGTTTAACATATCATCGACTACCCCAAACTAAAGATGTGGTGGACAGACTGGTACAGGATCAGCAGAAGCTCACGATCATTTGAAGGTCCAGACTTTAAAGTTATATCTTGAATGGAGCCATTTCCATTACTTTTAGCAATTTTTATAAATAATTTGTATGCTTACTCTTGGTCAATCAAATGGTATGGTCTAACTGTTTATATAGATATATTTAGTTTCTAAACCAAAAAAAGACACATTTTCAAAAATATATATATATTTAATATTTAATATTTCTTTCAGAATGCAGGTTACACAGTAATGTACAACACCAAGCTATTCACATATTTACAGAGCCCTCGAGATACAGTACTGTCAAAATAAACAGAGTCATTATAGGCTCTTTAGTCAGATTCCTGATGATCAGGTCAAGCTTGTTGGAGTCTAAAGTCCAGAGGTTTCAGGAAGTCCGGCAGAGAGTCTAGCTGTTCCGTAGGAATGGACTGGCTGAGCCTCTGCATGGCCTGAACGAACAGAGAAGGAGGTGATGCTCCAGAGAGCCATTGGAAGGCCTGATCTCCAATCATCCTCCTCCACACATCCCTTTTCTCCTGCAGCTGCCCCTTCATCTGAAAGCGAAGCGACGGCATGAATAAAATGAGGTAGCCGAGACAGATGCGCTTGGTCCGGCTGTCAAAGTCACTCTGACTGATCTGCAGCAGCAAGCAGTCCAGGGGGGTGTTCCCCGTGAGGTCCGTTGCGTAAGGGCATGCCCCGTGAGCCAGCAGCAGAATCAAGCACTCGGGACGCAGCAGGTCGCACGCGAGATGCAGCGCGGTTTTCCTGCCGTCCGTGTGCACGCATCCGTGACGGTCCAGGAAGCTCCGTCGCTCGCATTCTGGCAGCTCTTTGATGGTGTCCATGATCATTTTCAGGATGCTAATGCGGTTGTAGCGGACGGCTAAAGTCAGGTGCGGCGTGCTGGATGCTTGGCAGCAGCAGAAGCTCCGGCTGGGCATGTCGAGCGCCCGGGAGGAGAAGCATTTGAGTAAATAGCGCGCGTACTGCTGGTGGTCGTGGACCAGCGCGTACAGAAACGCCTCGGACGGGGAGAACGCGCACGCTTGTCCATCGTCCTCCCAATGAAAAACCTCCATGGTTCGCATGTCCTCGAGGAGCCACACCGGGAGCAGGTCCCGGACAGCCTGGTAAAACGCGAAGGAGGTCTTTTGGCATTGTTTTTGGGATTTGTAATCCGCACGACTCTCGTACACCCCCACGTCCAAAGGCATTGTGTTTGCTTGGATGGCGATTTACCTGCGGTTCGTGGATCTGCGGGGATGCCGGACCTGCTGGCGCATTTAAAACGATAAATAAAGCGGTGTTTTTGTTGTCAAGAGCCAAGGAGCGTCCAGCCGCCTTCAAACCCCAATCGAAAGTCAGGCGAGAGTTTATATAGAGCCCGGCTGAGTTGAGCTGCGCGGCGCGGGCTGCTTCGCGCATGTCGCTTCGCTCTGTGTCATTGGATGCGAGCGCGCGTCACAAGGGTCCAAAGTGCCTCCAACTTTTCCTTATTAGTGGAGAACACATGTGTGCGTATGTAAGGGGCTATCGGATGACCGTCCCGCATTCAGAACATTCAACACAACACTTACATAACAGCACAGGCCGAGCCATGCGCGCAGGGGATACCTGACTGTGTTCGGATATGGTTTCCTGGTTATAAAAAAGACACGTTTTCAAAAATGGAGATTATTCTAAATCAATGTGAAGGAATTGATATATATTTATTTATATATTGCTTAAAGGAACATGTCGCTTTTTCACATGAGCTCATTATCCATCTCCATCCTATTTCTCCCCCACTTTAACGCCTTTTGGAAACTTTTCAGACATTCTCCAGTTCTCGCGATAGCTCTTTTTGAAAAGATTGACATAAATTTATTCTAGCAGAAGCATTTCAGTATAAAGTGGTTAAACCCCGAGTTATTTTGTGCCTAATTTGATCGAAAAAATGTTTAGATTTTGTC